CCGCCACAAGGACCTGCAGCTCTCACGGACTTCTCAGTTTTCCAGTAACCAGCACAAATGGAACAAGCATGCTGAGCCATGAAGAAAATAACTTTTTTCGACCCACCAGCCAATTTTTTCGTTCCAGTAGTACGTCTCTGCACTTGGGATAGGGAGTGTCCTTGCTCCTTGGCAAACTTGTTGAGTTGCACATACATCTGGCGATGCTTCAGCTTCCAAGGCAAAATGCTTCTGTGAGGTACATCAGGTGACACGCTTGCTCTCTTGCAAAGGCGAAGAATGGAGTCGCCTCTGGTGGCCCCTTTTGGGGCCTTGGCGCAGGAGCGCAAATGAGCAACGATTGATGCTTTCTGATGTGTCTTAGGCAAAATGGGGAGGGTGCCCATGCAAAAACCACAAGTCCAAGAAACAGCAGCATGAGTGGGCCCATACGATACGGCAGTAACCGGAGCCCTGTACTGATCAACAGCCTTTTTAAAATTGGTGGTTGGGGTACCACGATGCGTACGCCTAATGTGATCCGTACGTCTTTTTGAAACGATGCATGCTTTGTCAGTGAAAGAGACATTGCAAATGTGACATGTCCACGTGATTTCCCGGTCGCGCCCAGTGGCAACAGACGCAGAAGCTGATGCGGCAGATGGGTTGGAACCACATGGCTCGGCTTCTGATTGCTCGGTCTTTTGACGGCTCGGTTTGGCCGTTGATGCAAAATCAGTCAGACATGCACTCCGTTTGGCAGGGGTGCTTTGGGCAAAATCGGTCAACCTTGGGCTTGGCCTGCTGGATTTGGGAGTTGCAAATTGTGAAAGGCAAATAGAGGCATTGTCGGCAGCCAAGCGTGCCTTCTTTGCGGCCCCGCGGTAACCCTTGGTGCCACCGTCTTCAGCATTCTGCCACAGGGCCTGAATATCTGCGTCTGAAGGAACAATAAGCTCATAATGTTCATCCTTGTACCAGAGACAGACAACATCCTTATCGCCATGACTATTAAAAGCATGGACAACATTGTCCTTGGCATGCACAACAAGTACAGGTCGGCGCATGGCTTCGCCATATGCTTCGATTTCACAATATCCCGCCCAAGCTTTATCTTTTTCAAGGGCTTGTAAATAATCGTCAAACCCACCCTCCATGGGAATGTTGCTCGGGCTTAAACCGTCCCAGAAATCCTCGTATTTCTTGAAGTGTTTGGTCATGTAGGCAACAACAAATGCACGCACCTGCCTGTGGCTGCGGGACTTACCTGGGGTAGACTCCGCCTGAGCTAGACAGTAAAACAAGCAATTCCCTTCCCCAGGGTTCGGAACTTTTTGAAGCCTCTCGGGCACTTTCATCCTCTTTTTGTCATGACCAGTTTTTTGCGGGCTGGTCAACATGGCCTGGTCTTTGCGTTTGGTGCCCTGGACATGCATGGGCTCATCCTCAACATCACTTGCATCTGGGACGCTAATCAGACTGACATCCATAGCTTCGTTACCGCGATCATCCTTGGAGGGTAATGGAGGTGGACTACTTTTCGGTAAGGCAAGCGTGGTTGCAAAGTCAGGCACTTCAAGCTTGGATTTGTGCTTGCCTTTTCCTTTGCCTTTACCCTTACCTTTTTTGTGAAATGCATCTAGTGAAAAGAGCACATCATTTTCTGCTTTCAACGGCTGGACATTTCCTGGCGCACGTCGTTTGGACTGCTTAACTAAAACCAGATCTAATGGTGGCTCATTGCACGTCTCGTCCGCATCATAATGGATTTGCATTTGATCACGGTCATCATTTCTCATGCCTTTGAAAACCCAAGCAGTGCCACCACGACGGCGTTGCTTTGCTAAAATATCAATTTCAGAGAAACCTGCTTCAACCAGAGTTTCTTCCACATTTTCAAAATCCCAACCAAACGGCACTGTCTCAACCCGCCAAACACTAGAAGTGGGTTTGAGCCGCTCATCGTCTGGTTTGACCCTGAGAGCCAGCTGTACACGACCCCTAGCCATGCCAAAAGGACCCGAATCATGAGCTACGCGACGAGCAAATGCAATTTGTTGTTCATTTTCCAGTTTGTCCACCCAAAGCATGCGTGGAGGTGTTTCTGCGAGGCCATCCCATCTGGCAGGATCAAGAAACCAAACCTGACCTTTGTGTTCTGAGCCGCTCGCTTTAATCAACTGCAGGGCCCTGTCTTTGCCTTTGACGCGAGCAAATCCTCGAACCAGGTTTTCAGCCTCGAGTTTTTGGAATCCCCACGTGTCACCAAGGTGAAGCAGAAGATCCCTAGCGTTTGGGCCTAAATCAGACAGCCACAAACGAAAAAATTTCCCAGGTCCCTGTGTGATATGATGGCGATTGTCACTGGCAATAAATCGCATGTCACAACTAATTCGAAAAACAAAAGACTCTTCATGGCCGTGTTTCTGGACAACAGGCCGCCTGGCGCCTGTCAGCACGGATCCTGGAACCAATGTGGGTGCATTTGGCGAGCACCGCGCAATCCAAACCAAGCGCTGGACCAATTTATCATCGGCATAACCAGCTGCACGTGTGTTCAAGGCTGTCCAACCATGATATCTCAATTTGCCAAGTTCTGGAGACATGTTAGGTGCAGCTTCAAGAACAACCGTGACATTGGTGCGACCAGCAGCATGAGAAATTTGGAGGGCTTCATTCCAATCATCCAAATTTTGTACTTGACACAGGAGAGCACCGGTGTCCCCACTGTCAAGAGCGTTGCGCAGAGCTGTGGGGCCACGCAAAACAGTTTTGACGCCCCAGTCCTGGGCACGGGCTTTCCAGGATCTGTCGCGTTGCCATCGTGTTTTTGGCTTAGGAGCACCATCTACCAAATTTTCTGAACTTTTGAATCGTGTGCTTGGTTTCACTGGCGGGACCGCCTCATGCGGCGGCAGATCTTTCTTTCTCTTGTTTGGTCGCAACATACCACGTTCAGTAACTTGAACCAATGTTTTCAACCTTTGGAGCAACCCTTGTGGTTTCTTTGCGGCTCGGGCAGTTAGCTTTTGCAAGGCTTGAATCAGCCCATAGCTGCCATCATGGTTCGCATCTCTCTGTTTGGAAGGTAGGCTTTTACCACTACTTTTGCCGGAGCCCTTACCCTTGCCTTTTTTGTTTGAGGCTCCGGAGCTAGAGGCCTGCAAAGTATCTTTCAACAAAATCTGCAAACCTTGCAGCAGTTTCTGTTCCGGTGTCTCTGGACTGTTTCTACGACCTCCCCTGCGGAAGGAAGATCTGGGCCGGGAGGTTTGCGAATGCTCAGGCATGTTTTGACAGAATGGGCAAAACTGCGCACGTACGCAAAAGGACAGGAAACGGCCTACCCTATTAAACAAACTGACTCTTGGCTTTCGGATGCACTTACGATGCAATCGGCAGCGCTTTCGGCCAACTCTTCTGCACTTGAAGACTTTCTTTGGCCTTGCATTCAAATGGTGAATTGACAGCATTATCCTGAAAACAGCTAATGTCACCAAATCGATGATGTCAACCCCTAAACCAATCAAAAGCAGATTCACAAAAGAAGGTTCAGTCAACAGCTTTCGGAAAAAGAAAGCGATGACCATGATCTTGCATGCCAGATGACAGAACCACAGCAGCGCTTTCTGTGCATTCCATGTGAGGAACCGATGCATTGAAAACAACATTCGCATGAGCATGATGCCAAGGAGTGCTATTCCACAACCTACTATTCTCTTCTTTCCGCACATCAGGACAAGGACCTTGTAGGCCCCGGCGAAAACGAAAGAGAGGCTGGTCGGATTGGACAAACAAGTATGCAAGCAAAATACGACCGCGGCATTTCGCAAAAAGTGCTTCTGCATGTATGCAACAGAAGCATCATGTCTGGTTTGGAAACTCCAAATGACGGCTTGTCTGAAACATCGCACACAAATTAAACTGAGGCCTAAACAAACAAGATCGGCACCTGTGAATTGAAACTGCTGGCACCACTGTGACATTGCAGAGACAACCTCAGCAATCTGAGGCCTTTGCGTGACATGGCAAAGAGATCGGTTGCAGAAAACCAACCCAGAAATCATCATTGTAAAAACGCTCCCCCATGAAACAAGCTTGCATGTCCTAGTGGAGCAAAATTGCCAAAGGGTCACGAAATAATAAGACATCATCGCCACAGCTGACAGCAAACCATGATTCCAAGTTGGTTTGAAATCCGTGTCAACCATCTGCGCAACGCAATTCACCGGTATTTCGAATCCAGGAGTTGCCTGAAAACCATCCACGGTGTGTCCAGAAACACACGAAGCATGAGTCTGCAAAATCATGGCTTTGACGTGGAAGAATACAAAAGCAGCAAAAGAGCCCCAAAGGTCCCACAAATGCATCCAAGCAGTGGACCACATAGCCACGAAGCGCTGATAGAACTTGAAGCTCCACGGTGACTCAAGCCAGCAAAAACAAGCACAACCTGTTAAAATCACCATAATCTTCAAGAGAGGCCACCACACTTTTCTCCCACACACAGTTTTCCTCACCAAGTTCACGATGTGGAAAATCCGGCTCCAACTTTGCATCATCCATTCAATCTTACCGGCTTTACTGCACAAACGTCTTGAAACCGCAGCCATACCCATACACACACCAGAAAAGATTGCAAGGACGTCAAAATTCAAATTCAATGCAACGAATTGATACCTCACGAAGTAGCTAGCACAAAAAAAGGGACAGTGAGTAAGATGCAATACACCCGGCATTGCGCAAACCATTGTCCATCGTCATCTCTGTTCATCTCACCTCCGCAGCACAGGGCCAGCACCGCCAGCATGGCTTTGAACAAGCCCGCCATGGCTTTAAAGGTGCGCCCGAAATGCCTATTTGCTTGGCTACAAACCTGGGCGGCTTGAGCCAAAATGGCTTGAGCCAAAATGGCTACGGAATGTGTCAAGCCAGACAGCAGCATGCATCTGCCCGGAAATTCCCGTTCATCTTATCGCCAGCGTCGTCGTCTTCTTGTCAGCTATCTGCGAGGATGGGGCATGGCTGTGGCAAACTTTTTCAACCAGTGCCGGGCGTCAAACAGCCAGAAAGTGAACCACATCCTGATTTCCACCATCATTGATGACACCAATATGAGGCTTTCGACTACTTTGCCTGAAAACAAGGAATGGAAGAGTAGCAGAGTTGTCTCCGTAATGAACACCATACAAACTCTGACCGTTAGCTACGGAAAGCTTGAGGGTGGAGAGTGCCAGTGCCACAGGAGCTTCTCAGTCCACACACCGATGGTATGCTTGCCGAAGGCGGATCAAGATAGTATCGGCTCGGAGCTTCTGAGCAGACTGTTTCTTTTCTTGGGCAAAGTGACGAGAAGGTTTGTGGAGTTCGATGTCCCAGAAGATCTGGCAGCAGGTGTTCTCATACAAGCACTTGGCATTTGCTTTGACTCGCTTGTTACGAATTTGGCAGTCTTGAAAAAGATTCGCCTGGCAGTTGCTGCAAAGCATGCCTGCTCAAGTGCGGGGCAACAACAGGTACACCGCACGCTACACCCTATGTTGTCAGTGTGCTGCCTGATTCATCAATTAGCGCTGTCACGAAAGCCGCTGTTGACCGGCTTCAGCGGATACTTCAGTTCTGTTGTGCGGCTGGGACACCTTTTTGAGGTGCATAGTTTTCGCACCCAATTTAGGAAAGCATTGCTCAGTGTGGTCTATCAGAGCTACCGCTACATCCCTGTCGTCGAGATGCCGCCAGACACCCGACAGTGGAGAGACGCTCGCAATCAGATTTGCGGGCTGGTAGCTCACAACTCCAGCAGATATAACAAGAGGCGACTGGATTTGCATGTTCAGCTCATGAAATATGACAACGGTTGTCCCGAATCTGATGAAATTGTTCACTATTGTGTCGGCTCTTGCTGTGATGGCCACAGTCACAGTGACAAATCCAAGTTTGCTGCAACCCAGATTTGCAAGTATTTCGGCCTACTGTTTTCTTTTGGCTTCCCGGTGCCGTTGATGTACCGCTGGGTCCATGCCAGTCGAGCCCTACAGTACATGAAAGACACATCATCGTTGATTTGGTTAAATGTTTGCTGTTTGCTCTTTGTTTGATTGCAATGCTTTGTTTTTCTTCAAGGATTAGAATTGGGATTTGGATACTTTAGTACAGTGTTACTGTGTTACTATTACTGCTACTGCTACTGTTACACAATACTGACAGTCACAATACTACAATACTTACAATACTGTTACACTTACGGACTGCATTCTTTCCATGCAACTGGCTTCAAGCCTTTGAGAAGGCTTGCGGCTGCACCTGATCTATCAAACCACATCATGTAGCTTTCTAACTTTTGCCCTTTGCCTTGTTTTTCCTGAGGAAGGCTGCCGCCTGCACAATCTGTTGACACGGACGATGGCATATCTTTCCGATGGCCCTCAAGAACAAGATCCATCATTGGATGATTTGTTCCAGGCAGTTGGGTTCTGCCCAAATGCCGGCGATGAGTGGTCTCACGAGGCTGGGAATGACGGGCAGACTTGGCAAGCCATCCTCATGGAGGTGCTCGATACGCAGGGGCTTTCAGCTGCTGAAATCAACCGCAAGCGGAAAAGGCTGACCTTTCAAGCTTTCAGGGACCCAACCATGATTTCCAAAACCGTGGCTCTGGAGTCTTTGGTTTCGCCAAATGTGGGCAAAATGCACAAATTCTTTCAGAGAAGCGCAGCAATTGCAGAGCTCTTGCGCTTGCCTTCGACTGAAACAACAAAGATGGAGATTGACTGCCTCAAACGAAAGTACCTGGACTGGAACTATGGTTGGACTTGGGCCTGGACAAACTTGACTGAACAGTTGATTGTGGATTTCCAAAGTTTGGATTTGAAGCTCTGTGATGAGTTACTGTAACACAACAAATCTCTTTGTCCTTTTCACCTTGTCACTTGTCAAGTTGTGACTTGTTGTACCTCTAATTTGGAATACATACATACTGTTACATACTACAAGTAAGGATTTTTTTGACTACATCGATTGCATCGAATCAAATCATCATTGAATAATGTCAATGTATCGGTAATCTAATATCTATTATTAATATTATCTATTGTCTGGTAGGCCACTGGTAGGTCTATGTCTAAAATATCGATACTAAAGGGGGTTTTAAAGGGGCCCAAAGGGGTGTCATACTCGACGGTGCAGATCGCTGATAACAGAATTATCAGGTTATTGCCAGCTATTGCTACAAAATACAAAAACGAAATTGAATCATCATCATACTCAGGGTCAAACATCACATACCATATTTTTTGAATCCATACAATCATAAACGGAAACGATTTATGAATCAAACAGCTGAACAATGCAGACATATGACTCTATGACAAATGACATTTGTCACGTCTATTGAATCATATGTTTCCAATTATTAGAACAGCATTTAATTTTGCGGACGGCTCCCAAAAGCCTAGCGGGCTTCACTTTACCCAAAAGGACTGTGGATTCGGATACCGGCTAGCGGTTGCATGTAGTATATAGGTGACTCGATTGGAACAAAAACAAGGTTTCCTTTGAAGAGGTCCTCAACAAGACCCCTTTCATTGCAGTTGAGGGGAGATGTTTTAAGTGCAGATTCACATCTGACATCTCAGCTGAGGTCGCAATCTATTTTCTTGAGCTTTGCTTCAGGCCAACTTGGACGAGACTTGGTGGAGGATTACGTTCAGCAGCTCCAAGCCTTTCCCACACTTCACATCCATGAAGTGTCGAAGGAGTTCTTCCGCATGTCTTTACAGGCCATGGCAGACAACTGGCGAAGACTTGTCCTCCCAACGGAGACATTTCCCTTCTTACTGTTCAGATTGCTTGACTATGACGACAACTGTCGCTTTTTTCAAGAGCTGGCCAACCTGAAGAAAAAGCAGGACAAGTGTCAGAGATGCGTGGATGTGGAATTTTCTTCCGTTGTTTTCCAATTCATTGACTTTGAACGCCCATGCGATGATCCTGACACCATTGCAAAAGTATCTCAGATCCGGCATTTCCTGCGAGATGTCTGCATTTACAGCCCGATCACCTCTGACTTGGTCGAATGCCTCCACGGATACAGTCAACATTTGCTTCATCGATGGAGGGGCGTTAAGCCAAGTGATGCAGTCTCTCAGCAACGGGTTTTGTGGACTCAGATTTGTCGAGGCTTTGGCAAGTTCAAGGAATGGATGTGGGATCGCTTCGGAGACAAGAACTCCTCCCACCGCTGGTTCAAGTATGGGTTGGTATGCCACAATCAATACACATCCAATGTCAACAAGGTGAAGGCAGTTGCCAGGAACAAGGCCAACTCCTTGTCCTTTGAGCAGATGGATCATCTTCTGGCTTCTGGGGGCTCGTTGCCTCCTCCACGAAAGGTTTGCGGAGCCTTGTTGCTGTTTGGGGTTACCATTTTTAAGCTTAAGCTTTGGATTGTTTTGGCGCTTTTTTTGCCTTAGTCGTAGGTATCTTGGCCAGCCGGATTGCAAACTTTCCAAAAGCCATAAGGACCATAAGGACCTTTGAGGAATAATGCAACAAGCAATGTTCTTTTATCGGTATGGTGGGCAGGCTAAATGATGTTTTGTTCTCTTGTCCGTTGTGTTAGCTAGGTTACTTGCACAAATCATAGCTATGTGTTTTGCTCTTGACTCTTGTTACCCAATGTTACAGAACTACAGAACTTACAGAAGACAGAATTTTACAGTGCCTTGTTACACCAATCATGAATCATAATCGGCAGTCATCAGTAAAAGTATTTCTGGTATTGCGTATGTGTTGTTTAATTCATAATTCATAATATATTATGCCAACAAGTCAACATGTCATCCATGGCCCTCAGGACACATACCTGTTACCTGATGTTGAAAAAAACATGGCTGGTGCAGATCACAGGCAGGTTGCAAGCATTGTAAGTTGTAAGTAAAAAAGTAAAGCAGTAAGGAACCACCTTTGCACCATGCTTTAGCAGAAATAAGGATGGAACATCTTCCAGAGGGAGCAAATGGCTGGTTCACAGTTGGATCCTGCTGCTTGGAAATGCAAACTTCATGAATGCAGTCAGAAGTGGGCATCTCTGGGCCCGCTCGAGCGGGATCGATATGCTGCATCTGCATTGGCTGAACAAGCTTTGAAGGAAGATGCAGCCCATGATGTTTTTCCATCCAAACATGCGCTGTCCATGAAAGATGGCGATGGTCAGCGCAGAGATGCTGCTGTTGACCAACTCCCACGCAATGCCGCCTGCTCTATCTCGAAGCATCGGTTTTTGGCTACCTATGCCAATTTCAAGTCAAGAGAGGAGTGGGTCCAGCTGGATGGGGGCCTTTGTTCACCAGATGGAGCTCTTGATTTGGACAAGATTGACCTGGACGCCACTGACGAGGCTGTAGATGAGATTTGGGGCAAATTTGCTGAACCGGTGCGAGGCTTACATGAGGATTGGAACCAACATCAGGATGCAGCCGTCCATCACACTGTGTGCCTCTCTGAGCAGGGCTTCTGCGTCTCATCCCTCTCTGCTGAGAAGATGGCGAAGGTGACGAAATTTGTCCAGAGCATGGGCGACCATGTATCTGCTGGTGACTTGTCCTGCTTCTCAATCAAAGCCATGGTGATAGTAGCTTTTCTTTTGAATGGCCACCTGATTTAATTGAAACTTACGGGGGCCAAGCATCACGCTGACCCAAGCCCTGTCAAGGTATGAAAAACAATGATGTGATTGCCATGACATAGCTCTTAGTCCTTACTAAGTTCTTCTATACTAACTAACTGTTCTTAGCAGTTCTTAGTTTTTAGTTCTTGCTTCTTATTATAGTTTCAAGTAAATAACTCGACTTAGTCAAACTATCAAATTGTTACAGACCATAGACTATAGACTATAGACTTATAGACTATAGTCGATGGTGGGTTGTATGGGGCTCCATGGACGTCTCTTGGGGGGAAACTTTATCCCCAACCGAAAACTTTTCGGTTGGGGATAATTTTCGGCCATTTTGATGGCTATGTGAGGCCAATGTTGGGCCATATGGGGTCCATCTTGGGCCCATGTTGGGTTATTTGGAGCCATGTTGGCGCCATGTTGGGCCTATGTTGGGTTATTTGGTGGGTTGTATGGGGCTCCATGGAGGTCTCTTGGGGGGGAAAAAAACCTCCAACGAAAGGTTTTTGTGTTGAGGGTTTTTTTTCAGCCATGTTGAGGGCTATGTGGGGCCAATTTGGGTCATGTTGGGCATGTTGGGCCTATGTCGGGCCTAAGGTAACCCACCAAACCTCTGAAATAGTCCAAAAAAGGGTCAAACCACAGGTTGGGGACACTTCCCTTTTTGGGGCCTATGTTGGGCCATATGGGGTCCATGTTGGGCCCATGTTGTGTTATTTGGAGCCATGTTGGGGCCATGTTGGGCCTATGTACGGGAAAATTAATTCCCAACCGAAAACTTTTCGGTTGGGAATTAATTTTTGGCCATTTTGAAGGCTATGTATGGCTATGTGGGGCCAATGTTGGGCCAACCGTTTGAGCTAGACTTTGGGGAGGGCAGGAAGTTGCCCCATGACCAGCATTTTCTTAAAAAGATGAGGGTCCTGTGTCAAATGGTTTCTTTTTCTTTGTTTCTGTGCAAGGCACACTTATGCCTGGCTCTCTCATTCAGCTTCAAAGCGCCGCAGGGCTCGACACCGAGATGTTCTATTTTTTGGGGGTGCTGATGAAAAAGCCACGGATGCACGTTCTCATCAAAGGGTTCTATTCTCCTTTAGCGGATGGCACTTCAAGAGTCGGTATCCTGGAGCCTTCTTCTGGCAAATGCATTTTTTTCACCAGCAGCCAAGTCTTTGCGAGTCTTTTGAACATGCCGGGGTCCTTTCCGAGTTCTGAGTCGATACCTTTTGTGGTTCATACTTATGCAGTGCCATCCTTTGAACCTTTGCTGGGGGTTCGGTTGACAACAGCCTCAGAAAGGAAGCATTTTTCGACTTCCAAGATGCCGACAAAAGCTTCAAAGGCCAAAGCAGCAAAGCCAGTCCGACTGCCACTGGGATTGACAGAATCTCCGCGTAAGAGAAAACGGGGAAAACCCATGGCGGGTCAGGGTTCTACGGTCAAGAAAGCTAGGGCAACAACAACAACAAAAGGGTCTAGTGGCCGTGACAACAGCAGCATAGGCGTCGTTCGCGAGATTGACCCAGACATTGCAGCTTTGCTTGCAGGCCAAAACCAAGAACCTTCCAGCGAGGAAGATTCCGACTTGGATTCCACTGATTCTGATAATCACTCTGATAGTGACTCAAGTGACTCGAGTGACTCAAGTGCAGATTTGGCAGGTGATGACTTGGCTGAGCAACCATTTCTCACGCCAGAGGCAGCTGAGGAAGAAAGGCAAATTAGCCTTGTGACTCAGAGCCATTGCCAACTCATGGAGCTTCGGGGCGAACCTGTTCACCTGCAGGCTTCAGTTCCAGACAACTCAGGGTTGGATGAGGTCAAGGCATTGGCCAAAGCTGGCAAGACATTCTGCAACCAGGTTGTCGGACTTGTGGAACTAGGTGTTCAAGCCAACAATAGATTGGCAACATGTCGCCATTGCAACACCAAGATTGCCCGCGGTGGAGTCCGATTTGGATATTCTTACAATGTCCGGAAGTTTCATGCATGGGTGCATGCAGGTTGCATTGTGTCATATCTTTCGGAACAAAAGGCAAACATCCAGCAAGCATTTGAATTTCTTGAGGACATGGAAACCAAAGATTACCCTGCGAATGTCAAAACTGAGATTTGCAATGTGAAAAGGGGGTTGAAGTCGCTTGCTGGATGAGCTCTCAGATGCTCGAAGGCTGTCATACTTTTGGGCGACTTGCTTGACTCGCTGTGGGGAACAGTGATGCCAGACACGCCAGACGCGTGAACAAAAAGACGGTTGGGCACCTCTTGCGACCCAATTAACCCATCCAATCTTTGGGACAAACTTGGACCTTCTGACTTCTGATTCTGACCTTTGACTTCTGAATTCCCAATAAAGTAGGAGGACGATGGTGGTCTGGCAATGATTTTTAACTTTTTTGATAATACTCAACACTATGACACTACGGCAAACCAATAAGAATCAGAATATTTAGAACATATAATTTATATAATCAATCGACAATCAACCAATAACCAAATCATATCATAGCAAATTACCTAGTTATATGTCAGAGTCATATCATATCATATCATATCATAATAGTGTTAACTATCACAATTATCACTACCCATGCACGGATGATCCAGAAGCTCACGTCAACATCACTGACGAGCTTTGGGCCCCTTCATTCCAACCTGCCAACACCTTGGGACCTTAACGTGGCCAACAATGTGCAGGCTCCAATTGACTTCTTCCTTCATGGCCGTGATGGTAGCGAAGTGCTGGGCATTGCAGAGCCGGCGCCGCTGCCACTTTGCTAGAGATAGATGAATTGAGAGATCGATCGATATTATCATCGATAGATAGTAGACTAGACTGGGCTGGACTAGACCAGACTAGATTCGATGATCGAATATAGACAGATTTTGATATACTATCAATACTATCATTTTACGAGACTAGATCATAATTAGATCATTAGGTCACTAGTATAGATCATGTTCATGTTATCCAGCGCTCAAACTTTAAACTTTTTTCCTTGGGTCCGCGCCGCGCACGCGCACGCGTAAAAGTATTCAGAAATAAGCTTGTTTGGGCGCGCGGGCGGACCCAATGAAAAAAGTTTAAATATTTTTCGGGTAGATCACCCACTGGATAAGAATGATTATCAAGTATGACCCGGCATCAACAGGCTATCCAATATAGGCTAATTGCTAATGAACAAAAGTTTCAATCATTCACATAACTTTAACGCAGTGGTTGCACACTAGAGGCGGTTTGGGCCTTTCAACTTATAGCTTGTCAATTCTCAGTTTTACATCCCACATCGAATGATAATTTGTTCTTGCATTACACAGGTAGTAATGGATCACGTATTGATTCCTTTTCGGATGGTTTACATGGTGTATTCCAGCCACCTTCTCAATTTCAAACACTTAGTGAAGCAACGTGGCTGCCAGCACCACCAAGGTATGAAGCCTACGTTCCATATCACCTGGAAACGCTGGTGCTTCAGTATCTGAGCTGCAACTGGTAAAGGGGAGATAGGTGAAAGGTAGATAGATGAAATGAAAGATAAAGATTGGAATCAAATCATTGCAGTACATTGTTACAGTTACATTAAGTTAGATTCAGGTTCACGTGAAGTCGTGAGTCTTGAGTTTCTGATAGAGTCCACTACATGATCTTGCTAATTATTTGCTTCATTTGTCACTTGACGTATGTTTGAACAACGGATCAATCCGATTCGCATGATGTGATGTGACTGAGATGACTCTGACTTCATGATATGACGAATGATGGCAGTATGGTGATATGTGATATGTGATATGTGACATGTGTGATAAGATGATGATCATATTGATTTTGGATAGATGATAGGATTCTCTGATTCCATAAGTTTGCTGAACCCCAATGCAACGAAACAGGTCTGGAGCCTGGATGCAACTGCAATGATTCATGATGCTGATACATGTCGGTTTGTGTTGATGGGTAAAAAAGAATCAATTTCCAGTCTACCCATCTCGCCAGATTGCAATCTCTCTTCCAAGGTCGAAAGAGTTTGGTTCACCCAACTCGCGGGGTCGGGTCTACATTGTGGGAGTGAGGAAGGACATTTGCAACCTTGACCAGTTCAACGCCATGATCCACTTCATCAAGGTGATTTGCCCAAAGGTGCATAGACGGGTGAGCCTTATGGATTGTTTCTTGGCAGGGACATGCCCGCACAGCAGGGACCATTCCACTCAACTCTACTGACGCCAGTTTGCGCAAAGCATTTAACACTTGCGACGGTCATGTTACAAGACGTGTGTGATAGTCGATGGATGGATTGTTTTTTCTTTGCTGATGCTTGCAAACCTCCAATTCATCAAGGTGCCAAATTACAGGTGCTGCCATGTGCTGCTGCTTTTCATATCTTTCCCTTTTGGCTGATGCGCGTTGCTGGGGGGGACTTTTCAGCGGGTTTCAGGTTGGATGTATGCCCACAAAAATCTTGAGACTGTGGATTGCCCTGAGTCATCTTCGCAGGCGGGTGAGGGCTTCAAGCCTGCATCTTTTCTTTGGGACTCATGACTCATTTCTGTGATTTTGGTTTGATAACATTTGCTACATCATGATTCATGATTCCATGATGCACTATCATGTGATCAAGCTATGTCAGTTTGCCAAGTGGCAAAATGAGGTGGTATGAATTGATCGAATGATTTGGTTTGATGTTTGGGTCTTGTGTTGTCCGATATTTTTTTATTACGTTTCACACTCTGTTACGTGATCTGTTACGTGATCTCTTACGTGATCTGTTACATGATCTGTTACATAGACTTGTACTCCAAAATGGCCTGAATATTGAGAAGATTGGGCACTTGGAACGGTTCAGAACAGTTCAGGACAGCGCCGTTCAGTTCCGGGGTATAGTCTGGAAAGCTTCCAACCTCGAAGCCAGGATGGCAGACCACCCAGCGCCAAAGTGGCTGCCCAAATCCGGAGGATGCAAGACGAACTTGGTATTGAGCCAGGTGGGGGAATGGGAGGCCTTTAAAATTCATCTTTTGAAATGCCGGGCTCTCGAACAGGCAATGGTTATTGCAGCCAGATGCTGGGCAAGTTTGGGTCGGTGCTCAATGAGCGTGAGCGCACCAAGTTGGACATTGAAGCAGCCAGGCTGCTTGCAACTTGGCTGCCGCAGAAGTGACAGTGAAAAAAGGAAGGAAGCAAAGAACTTAGAACTTAGAACTTCGATCCCCAGGAGGTTTTAGTCTTACTCTGACTCTTACTCTTATATCATATTATATTATATTACTTTACTTTGACTTGACTTAGTCTAATTAGGTCGAGCTATACTTTCTTGAGCTCTGTCACTGTCACTTTAGCCTCTCTTTGCTGTTCTCATTCTTAGCCGTCTTAGCCTTAGCCTTTTGAAAATTTACAACTTGCAACTTACAACCTTTACCTTGCTTTACTTTTACTTATCCTTCTTTTATTTTATTTAATGATTTAACTTTACCTTGTTTTACTTGTTACTTTACTTATGCTGTTGTCTTATCATCCTTCTTTTGCTTGTTGTTTTAACTTGTTTTATCTTTATTAAACATGTGCTTAAAACAGGAGCAGCATGGAACCGTTCAGAACCGTTCCATTGAATTTCCACCATTGTGCTTGGAACCGTTCTGAACCGTTCCATGCAAAAAAGCCCAAAATCGCAATTAGTTCCGGAACCGTTCTGAACCGTTCTGAACCGTTCCATGCAACAGTTTTACATGGAACCGTTCTGAACCGTTCCATGGATGGCCGCTTTCTGAACATGGAGGCTTCCACGGAACCGTTCAGAACCGTTCCAAACATCCTTCAATCATGGTGATTTTTTTGATTCCTTTTTAACTTAACTTAAGAACTTAACTTAACTTAACTTAAACTTCAATTTCAAAACTTTAAACGTACTTAAATTACTTAAATACTTAAAAGCATTTCACTTTAGACTTTATACTGTAAACTTTATAGACTATAGACTTATAGACTGTATAACTATATAGACTTATTCAGCCAAAGTGTTGATCAACGTTAAAAGAAAGTTTAAGCCACAACTAGCTTTAGCCAAGAGTCTAAGGCTAAGACGGCTAAGATGCTAAGTTCAATTCTGTTTTAGGTCTAGGAGCCTAAGCCTAAGGCTTTGAAATTCCAAGTTAAAAGCTTGGAGTTAAGTTCTTCAGTTATTAGTTAGTTAGTTAGTTAGTTAGTTTGTTTGTTTTGAATAGTGCGAAGTTATAAGTGATAAGATAAGTTGAAAACTTTAAGTTGTACATCCAGACAAAAAACCAAGAACATAAATTACATAAAGCCATAAGTAAAAAACATGGCACGCAAGGAATGCGGTTATAGCCGTTTTTTTTTTAAACTTTTAGCTTAACTTAAAACATATAACTTATAGTAACTTTCAATTTTAAGTTTCTTACTCAGCCGGTGGCTGAACTTCAAACTTTTTTCTCGGGTTCGATTTTACAACCTCTTTGGAAGGGTGCCCAAGGAGGAAGACTTATATGTTGTAAGTTGTAAGTTAAGGTAATAGTTAGATTATCGGTAGCTCAAAGGGATCAACTTGATCAACAATACGTTTCAAGTTAGATGTCACACCAGAGAATCAAAACGAACCATTGAAAAACATTGACATCACTGACATCATTATCATTTCTTCAAATCAAAACATACCATACCATGTCGTTCGTGAAAGTTCAGTGACATGGCATTGGTAAAAGTGATATCTGAATTAGAGGTAAATTCATGTAAATTCGATTGTTGTGTTCAACTCTTTTTGTGATTAAACTATCATGATGTATCACAATGAGTTTTGACAATTTTCCGCTTTGAGCTGAATTCTAACAAGTGTCCTTAGCAACCCCTGTTCGATCTAAAAAAGAGGTCTCCAGGTCACTTGTTGCAAGTCAAGAAAAACAGGTTAAAACGAAGGAACAAATCCGAAACTAAGTGAAAAATTGCCAATCATTTGGCAATTTTTTTTTGTGTTTTTTCTCTGTTGTACGCAATTGTACGTGTTTCTTTTTGAACACAGGTTCTGTCACAGGTTAAAAAGAAAACAGCTATAATATATATATATATATTAATATGTTTATATATGGTGTCCCTTGCCATGATTTGCAAATTTGTTTGACTCGATATTGCATTTTTTCGATGCATGGTAGATACATGATTCTCAATGACTGGATGACTTATATTGATACAATACATATTGATTTGATAATTGTTATATCAGTAGTATATCAGTATTAATATCATATCATATCTTCATATATTCCTCTTGCATTTTTTAAAGCGGGAGAGTCTAGATTATTTTTTGTTGGTTGAATTGTTCTTCATTTTACACTGCTGCACTGTTCCTTTCCTCAGTCTATTCTTCTTTATCGTTTGGCGAAAAGACAATAGAAACTTGAGGTTTGTTGCGGGGCCCTACACGGGGTCTATGTTGGGTTTATGAAGGCAAGATTAGATGGCTTGACGATGAACGGGCCACTGCTGAGCTGATATTGTTCAATAGTAATGGACAGTCAACTGGCTTCCTGACTTGTTGGCAATCAGTGAACAATGCTAAATTTCCACATAGGTTAGCCCAAGAAAAAACAACCCACAGGTAGCTAAATTCCGATTCCTGCAAAAAACGCAAGAAAAAACAACTTTTGGTGACTTGTGGGGGGCTTTTCGTGTTGGGCAAATAAAGTGGAACATTGCCATTGAATTGAACAATTTGAGCATTTTTTACAAAGCTTTGCTTCGAGTTTGATTTTGGGATTGTTGGGAAAGATTTCATAGCCCGGACGGCTCCATGGATTGTTTATGTAATTAGTAAATAGCAATTTTTCATCCATTACAGATCAGCACACGCCTTCCTTGACCTGAATCAATTTGATCCTGCGAAAGTCAGCCCAGGCAAAAGGAAAAGATCCAAAGGATGCGATGGTGGACGTTTGCCGTTGGGGTCCCAATCTTGAGGTTTGAAATGCATGCGGAACGAGTTTGCTGCTTTGGGGGAAATTGACGCAATTTGATATATGAAATCAAATACAACTGATTTGATATAAATTCTATGTCTATATATATATATATATCACATGATAGTTATGTGATTTTTGATTGATTTGATATCGGTATGTTAGGGTCAGGGTATCTTAGTAGGTTTGCATTCAAGAGCCAAGAGAAGATCAACAAGTACAGACAGACCGAGACGGTCTGAGCCTTTCAGCTTTCCATATACCCTACACCCTATGCCTATACTGACTGTCCTGTCCTGACCTCCCACTTTTGGATTCTGATTCCCGTTGCCTGTCACAGCATTCAGCCATCCCAACGCCCAGGCTCGGCCACTCATAGTATGGGAGTTTACTTCCGGGGCTTTGGAGCTGCATTTTCAACATCGATGAAGCTGTGGCACATTGGCAAGTGGGCCTTCGTTCCATCCCAGGCTGGTCCGGACAGAGTCGTGGTGTTGGGTGATGAATGGTGCGGGATGAGATTTTTCAGGCTCAATGCAATGATTGATTAATTGTTTGAGAAATTTGGTGTTTGACTGTGTTTTTGATGACTTGCAATTAAAAAGGACGATGCTTCGATTCAGTGATGATTTTCTTGATTCTTGAGGTCTTTTGTTTGTCACAGTGTTTGTCTGCTTGGCGTTTTTGCACACAACATTTCAGATATCTGTGGCTTGTGACATTCCTTCCGTCAGAGACCAGGTTTCAATTTCATCATCAGTCAGACTGGTTGCTGGTTTTGAAAGCCTTTTTTGGCCCAGTCCTGCACTTGCCTTTGTTTGCCAGCAGTGCTCCCTGGTCCCTGCTTTTGTTCTTTTCGGAACAGCATGGATCTGAGTGACACCGAGAAGGAGGGAACTCAGCCTGCATCGGGTGAGGGGTGCCGCCTGTGCGATCAAGATTGGAACTCACAAGACAAGGATACTTGGCAGGGACCGGGGGGCTTGAAGTCTTGATTCTGCAGGTTCTTTGCGTGATTTTGATGTGCTGGGCTTTCATCGGAGAGGGAAGCAGGAAGATTTTGAACCTGTGTGAGCCACTCCTGCAAGTGCTGGCTCGCATGCCAAGGACTGCCCGGAAGGCCACCAATCACCTGTCCTTCCAGTGAAGGACAAGGGCAACTACTGCTCAATTTGCTACTATGTGGCGCGTGGCAGCTTTCAGGGAGTGAGGCTCCATGAGTTGAGGGCTTCAATCGACCAACACAAGTGCGTCAAGGAGAAGTGACTTGACTTGTCAGCGTATTCGTGAACATGGAAGGTATTGGTATCAGTGGAGGCCCTATAAGGGGAAAAAATCCTGAGGTGGAACAAGGGATGCGTTCACACCTTCACCTTCACCTTCCTTTCTGAGAACGTGGAACCCTGGACATAGATAGGTTCACAAGTTGAAACGATTTGATGATATGATATGATATGATGATGTGATTCGATTGATATGATGGTGTATATGATTCGATGATATGATATGGTAGATAAATGATGTCTATTTCAATGTTTGATGTATTATATTATATGACATAATTGTAGGTGATGTAGACATAGAAATATAGACATATGTAATATGTATCATAAAACCTTTTATCAATCCCGATGGCCCAGTGTGGAACTGATTGTGGTGGGCTGGCTCAGGTGGTGCACCCTGAGAAAAGCAAAGCTTGAGGAAAAACTTATTTTTCCAAACCGACGCCCACGTCATGAGCGTTGCAGCTTGGCCGAGCTTGTCAAGAAGAGTGAGGCTGACTACGTGGACTTTCAGGAAGCCCCTTAGCTTTGCCCAAGAGTCGATGCGGGCATGAATGATTCAAATAATTCAATTACATCTTTCCTCAGCCACATTCATCTCCACGCAGTTGCTCAAGCTCATGCAGAAGCATTCCAAGCTTTACTGTTTACCGCGGTTTGCGTTTTTGTTCTGCCGGTTGCTTGTGGAAGTTAGTGACTTGTGACTTGTGTGTCTTAGTTGTCATCTCAGCTCAGCTAAAAATTCAGGCTGCAGGCCAAGTTTTTTTCTACTGGGCTAGGCTTGCGTCCAGCTAGTCCAGATTGTCTACTTAATGATTGCCCAGTCAGTGGTATGTGAATGTGAGATGGGGCCATGTGGCTTCCAGCGTGCATTTCATTTCAAAGATACAGCTGTCCCACACACCAAGGTCTCAACCCTTGTGAGCATCGACCAGTTCATCCAGGACAACTACAAGGGGAAAAAGAAGCTCAAGCACCTTTCTGATAAGAAGCGCTGGATCAGAGAGAAGGGGCTCAAGATAGTGAAACATCCAAAGACAGGTAAGGATTCCGTACCGGTAGAAGACAAGACCATCATGTTGACGGGAACAAGGCTGGAAACCAAAAGGGTGAAGGAGGAAACCCATGAGTCCAAAAGTGCTGCCAAAGAGAGTTTCAAGAAGGCCAGGGCTGAGTATGACATCCAGACAAATGCCAAAGCAACTCGGCTGGCTTACCACATTGCGCCAGGCATTCTGTTGTCGTTGGCCAGCTGCCATGGATTGATCACTGAACACCAGAACATGTTACATATTATTATGCAGTATACAATATACATATTGTTTTGGCTTTGTTTTTCAGTACGTGCATTCCACAGTGTTCTTCACAGATCAGCCCATGGACGGCGGTTGCTCCTTCCATTTCCTTTCCTTGTCTTGCAATCCTGTCTTCGCTGAGGAAAGTGTGGAGAAGGCCGCTGAGGATGATGACAGTGACAGCAGCGGCAGCGGCAAGTCAAGCGATTCTTCCAGTTCTGGTAGCGGTACGTCAAAGTCTTCGGGAGTTGGAATCCAGTCTGATGATGATGAACGTGAGGAAGACAACAGACTCTCAGCCTACTGAATCCTTTGGGTTGGGCTGGCTTGCTGCTTGCTTCTTTTTCTTTCATACCTGACTTGAGTGACCAGTTATTTACATAACTAACTAACTAACTACTAGCTTCACATGACCGAGTCCTTGACTGGTGCGGTATGGAAGTCACTGGCAGCATTGCCATCACAACTGCAATCTCAAACTTAGTCATAGAGTCAGTCATGCAGGCAGGAACCAAGTTGCATTCTGATGCTGTTGTCTATGAGGGCACGCTGGCAATGACATGATGATATTGACAGTGATAATTTGTCAGACGTTTGGTTCTAGCAATTCCGATTATGAAAAATCAACAAGCGACAAAGAGATCCCAACAAACGACTATGATTTGATTGTCGGCCTGATTTAACTGATTCAAATTCACATGATATGAATATATGAATGATTCAAATCCGATCATATGATTCAAACAGTTACATAATGTATGATCCATTTTGTTGTGTATGTGTTATATAATGTATATCATATACAATATACACGGTCTATTTTATAGTCGTTTGCGATTTGATTTTGAATTTCCTGATTCCTTCACTCACATTCATGGTCCCAAGCTATGGACCATCTAAATCTTTGCCCATGAATGAAGCCGTTTTGGCAAAAAACGTTTCCGTTTCAGCATCTCTAGTTGTGGCACCATGCCAAAGCGATGTGGTCAGCCGGTGGATCTCGAGCCCAAGAAGCAGCAGAAGTTGAAGCCAGCAGTTCCTCTTGGCAATCCACCAGCTCATGTCCTTCCGCTTGGCCACCCCATGCTGAAGATCATGGCATCTTTGGAATTCCTGCGTCTTTGTGGGTTGGAATACCTCGAAACAAGTGATGGCTGGGATTTCGAGGTCGAGAGGTGTTGGAAGACTTGGCGCAATTTGACCAAGGAGGAGCAGAACACCTTCGATGAGAACAGCATCCTTCCTTACTCCTCTTGGTTTCAAAAGCACACGCAGAAAAGATCGGAATTGAAGAGAGATAAGAAGGTGCTAAAACCTGGCAGAGAATTCGAATCAGATGATGATGAGTTCGAGGAAATTGAAGTCGAGATAGACTCAGACTCAGAGTCCCACAGCAAATGCAGCACCCTGCAATCAAATTGAGAAGCCGAGATGATCGAGATGCTTCGAACATTTGAGGAGATGGGGGTACATGCAGTGGATGCCCAAATGCCAGCGGAGCTCAGTGACGGTTTTTTCCAGCAGCTGTCCCATAGGAATCCACTTTTTCAACTCGAGTGGAAATAACTATAGTGACTCGCAGTGACACTACAGTCTATAGTGATTCAATTTTACGCAAGTCTAGCCCAGCCTGGCCCGAAGAAGTTTGACAGTTTGACAGTTTGACATGTTACTATGGTCTGACTATGTGACATATGTGACACTAGCCAAATCGAAAGTCACAGCCGCAACTCGCAACTTCTCATGTCCGCTTTGAAGAGGTTTGTTCCGGCTCTAGCGGCATATTCATATATCGATCATACCGTATACCGCTACTGATTTAATATCGAGTACGCAGTCGAGTTCCAATCCAGTCATATGGTTCACATTTGTTTTAGCAAGCGCCAGGCTGGGCCTACTGGCCTGTGTCAAACACTGCTGCGAGAGTTTTACTGCAAAGTACTGGCATTACTGCCTTTTGAAGCATAGACTGGACTAGGACGATGTTCCACATTATCAAACTTTTAAGATTCAGTCATTGAATCATGTGAGTGGCCGGCTGTTTTCCAGTGGCAGGTGGCACTTGACATACTTGCCGTGCGCAAGTCCAAGATGAAAGAAATTCAGCCCTGGCGTTTGGCAGCAGCATACTGGGTTCCGTGCTTGACTGAGCTCAACTTGGGGATGAGTGATGAGGCTTGACCACGTCTCAGTCGAGTCATGTCTTCTTAGACTTTTGTATTGATCATCCATTATCCATCTTCTAAATTCTGCCATAGGCCATAGGATTTGCCCGCCCAGAAATATTCAACCTTCAGCCCTCCCGGCTTCATTGAGCTGCTGAATGTTTGGAAATCTTTTGCTTGTGTGTGTGGGTCGCAGTGTGGCCCTTGAATTCCTGGATCTTAAGTTTCTTCCATGTTCCTTGCCATCAAGGCAGCTTGCTCACATGACTACTGACAAGATAAACAAACGTGGTCCTCCTGAGCAAACATCTTTAGCCTTTAGCAGCTTCTTGTCGGGGTTCCCCCTATTTCATGGTTGAATGACAACATGGATGGACATCACATAATTTCAACTTTTCAGATTCAGTTTCATGGCTAACCCCACCCAAAAGATTTAGAAACCTGCGGCCCATTCAGTTGCTACCATGTTGCCAATGCTTTCCCCGGCCACGCTTAGGATCTACAGAAAGGCGATTGGCAGACAAGAAACCCAAGTCAAAAGCCAAGGCCTCAGGCAAGGGGAAAAGGAAGGCCGAGCCAGCCGACTCTGGACCAGAAGACGAGGTGTCAAAAGCTCCGAAGATCACTGAGAAGCAGAAGGCGTTGGCTGAGAAAGCAGCCAAGGCCACAGAGCGCATTGAGGTGACCCTGACAACTGTAGCGAAGACGAAGGAGTTGTTGGCGGAGCTCACGCCAGAGGCCATTTGGGAAAGTTTGATCAGAAGCAACGAGTTTGATCGGAGGCTTGCCAAGGCTTCGGGGGCTGAAGTGAACCTGCAGAAGGTCCAGGCCAACGAAAAGGCAGGGCAAACCCAGAGGGATCGCGCCAACCAGTTGCAGGACGACATCACTTCCATGGTGAGCAACCTGCAGGCCATGAAAGATGTTTGCATGTTGATCCGGGGCGAACCTTCAGAACTCGCAGAGGAAGTTGCACATGGCACGGACTTGTTTGAGAAGGTGAAGAGATGCGAGAAGTTTCTTCTGTCGGACTTCACGGTTGTGATTGACATGGGCCTCGCCCTTGCCAAGAAGCTTCTTGAGGCTTCTTGGTCGCAAAGAAAGATCTGAAGAATCCGAAAGTGAGGTTACAAACTCGTTGGTGCTCTTGATATATATTGCATTTCTAACTCCGGCCTCCTGACTATGAGTTCCATGGTCGGAGTCATAGTACTGATGCTGCCCGATTGTGAGTCAGCAAGTCAGAACCGATTACTGTGTAGTACTGTGTACTATTACTCTTGATTATTGTGTAACTGTGTGCGTATGAATGTGTAATTTGATTTCGCCCTGATTCTAAGATTGCATACTACTATTGACATTTTGACTCATTTTACATTTCTGGTAGGAGAAATTTAGGCACCTCACCTGCATCACTCCTCCTGTCGGACTATGAACATGGTTGGATTCATGGCCATGATTCAAATTGATATGATCGGATTTGATATGATTCATATGATCAGTCTTTGCTTCATTCCAACCTACCAAGTGAGGGAACTCGCCCCCAGCTTAGGCGAAGGACAATATCTTCTGGAAATTCCTTCAGATGTCGGACACATCCAAGTGCTCTTTCAGCTTTGCCCACATCCTGGATGTATATTCTGGCAGCAGCCGGAGGGAGCTGGCAGGCCACCTGCTTCGGATGCAGGTGACCGCTGTCTCCGAAGGAATCTTTGATCGGCTGCGGGGCAATGGCAGCATTGACTTTGCAAAGGCATACATTCCAGACTACCTTCGCACCGCAGAATTTGCAGATGAGAAGAAGTGGTTTCTCGCCTGCATGTTCTGAGTTCTGACCCTTTTTTCCTGGTGCCAAATCATTTGACCAGTGATCAGTGATAACTGATAACTAAGCCAATCAAATTCAATTGGCGGAGTCCTGCTGGAGCTTCAATATCTAAGTATCTCATTGTACCATTTCAAACTTACAACTCGGAATTTTGAAAATAACGAAAACATTTTCAAAAATCTCTCATGTTGGTCCCCCATTGACTCATTCAGAATCATTCGCTACATCATCATATTTAGATTCATCATATTCATATCCATTTTATCTCTGATCATCGGCGCATGTCCCATATCTCAGAGCCAATGGCCCAGAACAGAAAAGAAACAGCAACAGCAACATGTTTTGCCGTGGGGAAGAGCATTGCCACTTGCACTGATTCTATGACAAGAAATAGAGCCAGAATTGAAAACGGGAAACGGGGAATGAGCAATGCTTAATTTTGAATTTTGATTTCCCATTTGGGATTTCATCAAACGGTGCTGGCATAGACATACGCGTGGTTGGATATAGATATTATGAATTATGATGGTGATATGCAATATGGCAATATATATTTAATATATGATCTTATGAGAGATATATATATAATATTATTATATATATAAAAAATATATATATATATATATACTATATTATATATATAGATTATATAATTATATAAAATTTCACGGCGTGTACCGTCTGTTTTTCCCATGATTTGATGACTTGTTTTGCAAGGGTAAAAACTAAAGATTGGACTGGAATTGTTTCTTGTTTCGGCCACTGGTGCTGATATTTTGAAGCCTGCAGAGGTGGAAATTCAACTTTGCTGTCACTTCATTGTTCGCAGCCCGCGCTCGATTTCAGGTATCCAGTGCCTGGCAAAGGGCCCGTTGATCTCACAGGCTTTGAAGGTCAGCTTGGCTTCACTGCTGTAGTTGTAGCAGATGTGCAACGGGTTCTCGCATGCCTTCACATGAGCATCGAGGATGATTCTGGACTTGACTTGACGTACGTGGCTGCTGTCGCTTCCGGGGCTGCCAGCAATGCTTTTTCTTCAAAGGTTGTGACGCCAATGTCTGCACAGGCAGAGTGGAGGCCAGCCCGTCAGACTTCTCGCGCTCACATTTTGGATTCCGACCCGGACTTAGACTGAAAGGTCCAACTGTTCAACTGGATGATTCTGTATGATTCTGTTCAGTCCTGTAACCCTGTATGTATGATTCTGTATGATAGCATATCTTGAGAAAGTAGGGTAGGGACTCGGAACTGTAATGTAGCTTAGTGGCTTAGTAAGCAGACTCCAGCTCCAAGCTCCAGACTGACTCCACTGACTGACTCACCCGCTGTTTTTTGTGATGTCTCTGGTTGGCATTGGCATTGTCACAGTGTAGATTGTGTGACAAGTGCCTTACCGCCTTACCTTTTTGATTGCGCCATGCATATCATATCATACTAACAGAAAACTGACAAACGCAATGTCTCGACTTGTTTTTCTTCAGAGTTTGCAGTTTGTAGTAGTAGTAGTGGTAGTAGTAGAGTTTGCTGTTTGAAGTCGATGTTGATCTTTCAACTTGGCAGGACTCTTTGGCAAAAGTTGCTCGCCCTGGGAAAGAACCTTGTCAATGCTGCTGCGATTGTGAAGCATGTCAAGGATCTGTCACCAGGTCTTGAGGAGTTGATCTCTTCGCATTCCTCTGCTGACTGGTCTGAGGAGGACTTGAGCAGCATCACCAAGAAAGTGAAGTCTCTCACAGTGCTTCCCGTCCTCAGGAAGAACCTCCAGGAGTCCAAGCGGTCAACAAGCGTAACGACTTGCTTGGGGGAGTTGGACTCCATGATAGAAAAGTTGCTCAATTGGGGGTGCGGGGTGTTGTGCCCGGACGCGAAAGAGATTCTACTTGGCCTCTTGGGCAACGTGGGCGAAATGATTCCACTGCCAGATGATGACTCCGCGGATGTGGCGAAGTGCGCTGCGGCTTATCCCAGCAAGATCCCCACTATCCCAGAGAGTGTGAGCCCACGTTTTCAGTTGTGGTGTTTCCTGGCTCGGGTTTTCTTGTTCCTTTAGGGGTGCAAAAAAGGTAATATGATGACGCACACATTATAGTTATGAAGTTATGAGTTATGAGTCAGTGATCAGATTGGGTGCTGAGGAAGTGTGAAGAATCGCACAGAATCGCATCATAAATATGATGTATGATGTATGTATTACTGTATGTAATATAGTAACAGTAATATGTGTATATGTGAGTATGCTGTGCTGTATGCTGTGTGTTTGATTCTCCTTAACGGTTTCGGTTTGGATTGATGTCTGATGGCTGATGATTCTGCTATTTGATTCATTGATGACTGCGACAGATGTGATTTCCTGTTTTCCCTCTAGTGCTAGGTAGATAGAGGTCGTTTTTGAGATTTTGCGCCGAAGCATTCCGACTTAGGCTACTTCCAGTCTCACTTGTCTCTTCCTGACTTGGCAAAGCCGTGCTCTGCCATTACAGCCTGGATTGAGGCAACTCAGGGTGCCAGTGCTGATGCGGGCCGTGATGCTCTGTCCTTGGTTGATTCACTGTCGAGCACCCGCAAATACGCTGACTCTGTCTTGAAGACATGCCAGGACTTTGAAGTGAGTGACAAAGAGTTGCGCGAGAAGGATGGGTCGCTGGAGTTCCACAGTCAGAACTTGCACAAGGCAATCATGGACATGCTTCAAAGGTACTGCCATGCACTTGAGTCCCGTACCATCCTGGCATTGGCCAAGAAGGAGTTCAAAGAGCCTACGAAAGCAGCGCAGACCTTGCCAGCAGTCTTAGCGCCAATGATCCACGTTTTGCAGCTTCCTTGGGAGGAAGAGCTTGAAAAGCTCAGCAAGACCAACGAACTGCCGCTCTTGATCTCCAAGCTGTCTCTTGCAGAGGCAGCCTCTTCAGCTATGTCTGCCAAGGCTTTCCAGGATGAGGTTTTCTCAGCGACCCGGGAGAAGTGTGAGAAGTTTGTGAATGACTTCGTCCAGAAAATTGGAAATACCGCAGACGAGTGCTTCAAGGGACTGGTGGAAGGGTTCAAGGATTTCAACAACAAGTTTGAGGAAGTGGAGGGTTGTGTCCGAGATTGGGCACTGAAAGACATTGAGTGGGTCTTTCTGAAGGAGACGGAGGAGGAAGTCATGAAAGAGCTTGTCTCTTTGAAGGCTGCGAAAAAAAATGCAATCGAGTTCTCCAGCATTTTGGACGCTCTGGTCAAGCATGAGAGCTCTTTCGACCCGATGAAAAAATTGAGCGAAACGGCCAAAAGCTTTCACCGTGAACTCGATGAGGCCATGATCAAGTCATGCATGCTGGGCAGCTACATCGTCATGACCCACTTGGTTGTGAACGGCAGTACCTCCAAAGAGGAGGTGGAGAAATCAGAGAAATATTGCAGCAAGATCTTTGGCGTTGCCCCTGCAACGCTCCCAGAAAAGTTGTCCAGTCGGGTCAAAGAGTTGGTAAAGGGGCTGCCCACCGCTGCAGCTTCGTCCAGTGCAAAGCCTGCCGTCAAGAAAGAGGCCAAGGCAGAGCGCAAGAAGGACAAGGAAAAGGACAAAGACAACAAAGGCGACAAAGGTGACAAGGACAAAAAACGGAAGGCAGAGAAAGAACCAAAGGCTGAGGGGTCTGGCAAGAAGTCTCACAAAAAGCAGTCGAAATAGGCTGCGCCAGTGTGCAAAGCATATTCGGCATGTGCAGCCGTTGGAGTTTTTCTTCCCAAGCAAGCATGGTAAGTGGCCATGCGGCCAGGCAATCTGTGGATTGTGGTCCGGTCCAGCGGTCCAGTGTTTGACTTTACTGAGTTGCCGTCGCAGGATGACCTGTGATTTTGCAAAGTCCGAGAGTCCTACTGACCAATTTTGAAGATCCCCCAGCCCTCAAGCATCAAAAAGGTCGCCAGCTGTGACGAGCACTTGCAGCATTTGCTCGGGGATTTCGTTGATTTCATTTGGCAGCTGCTATTCTTCCTCCTCATTATTGCTTCAATTTCCAAACGCTTGGACTTCCACTGCCCACTGGTTGATGTTAGGTGATGATTGGTCGACGTGTTTTTTTTCCCCCCGGCTGGCCTGCAGGCCATTCTGGCGGGCCAAGGTTTTGACCCTGTGGATTTCAGCTACCAGGAAGATTATTCTTGTTACGTGAAACTTGCAGGCGCGGAGGTATAATATAACAAATACTATATATACATATTTATATGTATATAAATGATATGTAAATAAAACTTTATATATGTAGCCGGTAGTCGTTTGTAATTTATCGGTAAAATTGCAATATATGATGATGGTGAAATGATATGAAATAGAACTTGTAGTATGATATGTGATCAGCGAAATTGGATATATGATATATTGTCTATGTGGCTGATATTTCCAGCAAGAAGCTATGCTCCTATCGGAGCGAAAGATGCACTTTGCCTATTGGAATGCGGTTTCAAATCTTCTCAGCTCCTTTCTCAATTCATCCTCACCTAATCTCATTTCCTTTCAATTCTTCTCACTTTTCGCTTCTTTTCACCTCCTGTCCTCATCAATTTCTCAAACCTTCTCACTCTTCTCAGCTGCTCATCTCTTGTCACCTTTTCTGCACCCGTTTCAACTCTTCTCAAATCTTCTCGCCTCTGCTCAACTCTTCGCAGCTCGCCTTCTTTTTCCTCAACTCATCTCACCTCTTCTCAACATTTCTCACCTCTCCTCAATGCTACTCGACTTCTCAACTCTTCTCAACTCTTCCCAACTCAACTCTTCTCATCTCTTTCAACTTTTGTTCAAGTGTAGATTTTGGCAGAGCACTCACCCACCATATCAAGTGGAGTTTAATTTCATTTCGCTGAATATGGCATGTGGCCTGTGCCTTCACTTGGTTTGCACATGTGTTTCCTGGTCGGTGATGCCACAGTCCTTGTCACCCATGAGTCCCATGGGAATTCTTTCGTTGAAATGATCACAGGAAACGCGATGACCACGTCGGTGATCGGTGCTGTCGTCTGCGGATTGCTCATCTATGCGTTGAAGCTTGGACATGATGGCAAGCATCTCGTCCAGCAGTGGCGCTGTTGGGTCGGTGGCTAGGGTCACGGGTCACTAGTGTCAAGTGTTGAGATACCTTCAGAGTTGAAACCAGGACCAAAGGTTTGTCAATTTGGCATCCTAGGCATCCAAGGTTTGAAGTCTGGCAAGAAAGGTGGTCAAACCGAGTCAAACCTGATCAGATTATCAAATCAGATCTGACCAACATATCAGATCACCCCCACCGGTAGGGATTGTAATTTTGGTCGTCATGTGATTCATGCTCATGACATGTGTTTGTTTTGTTTGATTTCGGCATGCTGTGCCGAAAATTTCACAACGAAGTCACTGAAAATCAGAACTCCGAATTTGTTTGTTTGGTTTGGTTATGCAGCTGTTTTTTTCCCAGTAGACTGAGCAGGCCGCTGTGCATGACAATGATGCATGTTGGTGTCATCTTTCTTGTATGATTTGCTTCGGCTGCGCGACTGTCCAAGGGCAGTTGCGGAGAAGTTTCAGACTGATGCATTAGGCGGCAGCTCTAGTGATAGTGGCAGTGCTTCAAGTGAGCCTGAGCAGGAGCGTGCAGAGGAGGACGCAGAAAGTGAGTCCAGCTCTGCAACTTTGACATTAGGCTAGGTGGCGTTGGTGCTCGGTTTCTTGCACTCCAGCCACAAGCGCCGCCGCCACCAACAACTCAACCCGAAGTTCAACATAAAAGTTACATGATACTGATACATGTTACACATTACATAAATCGTTTTTTACAGATGTGTGCGGTGGATGGAGCGTTTGTCGGTAGCGAAACTGACACTGGTATGAGAGATGATAGACAGGACAGGACAGACACAGATAATGATGTTTATTTTACTATTGGATTGGACTGGACTGGACTTTACTCCAGACTACAGTAGTACTAGTAACTGAGACCGCAACACTGCGATATTTCCAGTTCATCCACCGTACCCTGTTGAGCATTTTGGCCATGGACTTGATTCAGGACTCACTTCTGATTTCCATTCAACTAATGCTTCCCAGATTCATGTTTCAGCATTGTCATTTCATTGTGATATGCATCCCTGACTCAGTGTCGTTTCATTGTTTATTTGGATTAGTCGGGCTTTGAAAATGGGGTATCGGTATCGGTTTGTTACGGTACACTATGTTATGTTACATAGGATCTGATCAGAGTTTGTTCTGGTTCTGTTCTGTCGCTGGGGCGTGGACCTGAAATTTTTGCTTGGAGACGGCACGTTGAGATCTCTGATTTGTGATGAAATGGCGTGGGATGGGACAGGGGGACAGAGTCTGCTTTGTTCTTTTTGAACTGAACTGTGGCCATGATATGATAGGTCATGGGCCATGGGCCATCAGGCAGGGGCTATATATGTCAATAAATGAAAACAAAGCGCGCTATGCACCATGAACCAAGTAACCAAGTAGTAGTTCTACCTGAAAGTACACGATGCGTTCGTGTTTTTCGCCGCTCATGTGACTTGTGTCCACTTTTCCCATCACCAAGCACCTTCTCGATAACATTGGACTGACTTGGGGTAATATGAAAATTCCCGATATCAGTCAGCAGTCAAAGATTTGTGGCATGGACGCACCATGATTTGAAATTGTTGTTTTGGTTGGTATTCGGTCAGCATATATAGATATTAATTATATGGTATCAGTAGATCCAAAGGAGTCATGGGCCTGCAGGAATTTGTACCATGGACTGTGACATGATCTGTTACATAGTTTTTATTTGCCATTTCTTCACCCTTGAGTGAACATGAATCTGCGACATGGACTGTGACGTGGACTGCGACATGATCTGTTACATAGGTTTTTTGCCATTTCTTGACCCTTGAGTTAACATGAATCTGAGACATGGACTGCGACGTGGACTGCGACATGACCTGTAACATGAGTTGTTCCCAGTACGTACCCCCCCCAGATGGTGCCATTTATAGCAACACACATAGAGGGTGATGATTGAAATAATATATATATATATATTACAGGTAGTGTATGTATGTATGTATGTATGTATGTATTTATGTATGTATGTATGTATGCATGTATGTATGTATGTGGGTATGTATGTATGTATGTATGTATGCATGTATGCATGTATGCATGTATGCATGTATGCATGTATGCATGTATGCATGTATGCATGTATGCATGTATGCATGTATGCATGTATGCATGTATGCATGTATGCATGTATGCATGTATGCATGTATGCATGTATGCATGTATGCATGTATGCATGTATGCATGCATGCATGCATGCATGCATGCATGCATGTATGTATGTATGTATATGTGTATGTATATATATATAATTATACACATAATAGGGGATCATAGAGTATACTATCCAGCTATGATCTCATCCAATGCTTGCAGAGTCACGATGCAATCCTCGCAGTAGAAGTGGCCACAGGGCAAGGTTGCGCCCGTGTCCTCAGCGGTGCCATGGGATTTTGAAGGGAATTGGAGATTTAATTGGAGATTGAATGGCATTTAGTGGGAAAATAATAGGACAATCAAACATGACAGGCTGGAAAATCCTCTGCTCATTTTCTCTTTCTCACAAAAAAAAAACAAAAATATTGAAGAAAACCAAAAAAACAACTAAAGAAAATAATCCACACATTCCAAAAGGAATTCACCAAAATCGCAATAAAACACAAAAAAACGGAACAAACTCCACAAAAAAAAACAACAAACAACTTTAAAATATTGTAACAGCTCAAAAACAAACAAACAATCAAAAAGAAGTTTGACAAAAATGACAAACAAACACAGACATAAAACAACCAATAACAACAAATCTTGAAATAATCCTTTGACAAAAACCTAATAAAAACATGAATGAGAACGTATTTTTTGGAATGAACAACGAATATTGGGAATGAAATGGAATTATTTGGAATGAAATTGAAATATTTCGAATTAAAATGAATAAAAAGGAATGTTCAAGGAGTGTCCCTATAAGGAATGTCCCTCTCCATAGAGAAGACCAGAGGGTTACCATTGAGACACAACACGTGCTATCAACATGTAGCGGCAATTTATCAAAATTTTGGGTTGGACAGTTGGACAATTCGACAATCTCAATTTTTGTGAACTATGAAATTAAGTCAAAAAACCTGCTGATGTTTGGTGTATTTCGAATCCATGATTTGGCGCTTTTCATCAATTTGATAGGTATGCCAAAATAGATGGCCAAGGTAGATTGCCATGAAAGATGCAATCTGATAGTGGAAGAAACTGTCGAGACAGAAGTGATTGGTTCTGGAATGGTCCGGACATTTCTCCCGATTTAGGGGGTGCTAAACATCACTCTTGGACACTTTTGGAAGGTTAAATGCTGCTCAAATGCTGCTCAAGCGCCGGAAGGAGGTGATGTTCATTAACAATCAAGTTTTGGACATATCTACACTTGTGTCCCTGAAGCCAGTTATAAGTCAGTAAGTCACTCCATTTGTAAAAAATGATATTCCCATTGAAATAACCATCGAAATAATTGTTGATATGATAGGGCCATAGTGCATTGGGTCCATGCACATCCAAGGACCCAGGGCTCTGGACGATGATTTGGATGGTTTTCGGAGTGGACATGATCCACGAAAAATACGAAAATCATAGTTTAC